AACCCGAATATTAAAATCGGGCTCAACTCGATTTAATAATCGGGTTCAACTCGAATTAATAACTATATAACTACAATTTTAGATTTTTATCCCTAGGGTTAATCTGGAGTCTGCGCCTCCACCTACCCCACTCACTCTCAGATCTATCTCACTCTCTGATCCCTCTCCCCTGCTCCTCTCCTCCCTTTCTCAGTCTCCTTCGTCTTCGCCTCCCTCTCTCAATTTCCTTTGTCTTCGTCATCTTAGAGTCTTAGCCTCTTTTGTCTTCGCCTCCCTCTCTTAAACACGTAAGTGGTTCTTGTGGGCAGTGGACAGTGACTATGCAGTGGTAGCGATGGTTACAGTCGAAGCAATGGACTGGTGTCAATGACAGTGTTCTATTTTCTATTTATGTGTTCTGTTTGTGTTAAATTGGCAGCAGTGGACTGGTGGTAGTGTTCTGTTTATGTGTTTTGGCAGTGTTCTTTGTTCTTTTTATGTGTTCATATTGTTATGTGTTGTGTTTGTGTTAAATTGGCAGCAATGGACCGGTGGCAATGGTAGTAGTGTTTATCTTGTTATATGTTCTGTTTGTGTTAAATTGGCAACAGTGTCCTGTTGATGTTTATGTCAACCCAAATTGAACCCGTAAAATAACTCAAAATTAGCCCAAAATTAGCCCAAAATTAGAAACTTGAATTCAACTCGAGCCTGTCCGAATTAAACTCGAGTNTTTTTATGTGTTCATATTGTTATGTGTTGTGTTTGTGTTAAATTGGCAGCAATGGACTGGTGGCAATGGTAGTAGTGTTTATCTTGTTATATGTTCTGTTTGTGTTAAATTGGCAACAGTGTCCTGTTGATGTGTATGTCAACCCAAATTGAACCCGTAAAATAACTCAAAATTAGCCCAAAATTAGAAACTTGAATTCAACTCGAGCCTGTCCGAATTAAACTCGAGTAGTGGTCAGGTTGAGTCCATTAGGTTGAACTCGGGTTAGGGTTAGAGTTGAAGATTATATACCTAGGGTTGAGTTAGGGTTGACTGTCCAACTTGCCCAACCCGCTCGAGTTGCATCCCTACACACAGGAAACCACGACGAAGGGGTTGACTTATATAATCNCCTGTCCGAATTAAACTCGAGTAGTGGTCAGGTTGAGTCCATTAGGTTGAACTCGGGTTAGGGTTAGAGTTGAAGATTATATACCTAGGGTTGAGTTAGGGTTGACTGTCCAACTTGCCCAACCCGCCCGAGTTGCACCCCTACACACAGGAAACCACGACGAAGGGGTTGACTTATATAATCTGGTCAAAGGAGAACTCAATTTATTTTAAAAGACATGAAAAGTATTGCTTCAAAGTTGCTTCGATGCGAGGAAGAGAGATGCTAGAAAAAGAGACAGAGTCAACTGCCTTTAAGAGCGCATCTGCTTTATGATAAATTGCTTCGATATCAAAATTTGAGATTGAAATATAAGAGGTAGATTTGGGCATTGACTATAAAGAAAGAAAATAATAGATTAAGAGAAGCAAGAAAGTAGCATAGACAAATGAAGTAAGAGAATGTTACCTGATTTAAATAAGTAATAAAGGGAAAAAACTTCTATAATTGATCTGCTTGGCCATCAGGATTGGCTTGAGGGCTAACAACAGGAACTGGGATTGTAGGATCCTTACAAGCAGTCTCTTCAGGGATAGGAAATGTTTCAATAGGAGGGTTTTGACGAGAAGGTGAAACATAACCTTCAAGAGGTAGATGATGCATGTATTGGCTCGAAGGAGTAGCAACTACTATGGTTTCCATAGTGGTGTCTCCTCGATTCTCAAGAATATAATCATCCTCTTGCTCTGAAGGAATTAAGAAGGAATGCTTAGAGTTGCTGGATTCTGATGGCAAAATCAGTGTCCTGGTCCTTCTCTAGAAAAAGGGAAATTTAAATGTTAAAAAAAATCTCAAAAAGGGGAAAGATAATGTAGAAAATTGATATCCTTACTTTAGCAGACAGTTTGAACAGCTTGCTAGATTATTTGGTTTTAGGAATAAGATGGCTAATCAATATATCTTCACTATTGGTCAGAGAAGTACCGCATTCTTATCCTCCTTTGAATAAGGAGCAAATTCCAGCGGCTGGGAAGGTTTTTCCACAGGAGGCATTACATCTGGTCTATGAGGAGTAAGATGAGCACTTGTCTCTTTGTGAAGAAGAGGCATTTCTCTAACATCTTGCCCATCGATGGCGGTTGCCATTGGTATATTAGCAGCTAATTGAGAGGATTTGACCCTTTCCTAAGATTGTGCAGTGGCATTATGATCATCAATGACAGACTGCATTAGCCTTGGGGCAGAACCTTCCGTTTCTTTTTCTTTGATTCCTCAACCAATATAGTTTTACCCTTACTTGGATTGACCGGAGGAGAAGGAATAGGAGCAAGTGTTTGTTTCTTTTCTTGACCTGAAGAGAATTAAAATATGGCCTAGGTGGGAAAAGAAATGAGTTGAAAAAGAACTGGAAAAGAAAAACAAGATATACCTACAAAAGAAGCCTAGCTTGTCTGATGATTGTTAAAACATAACCAAGAAATATATTCATCAATGGAGTAAGCAAAAATTAAGGCTAAAACATTCTGCCACTATTTTGAATGGAAGGTGGATTGCGATGGACTGAAGGTAAAGTAAGAAAAGCAAAAAGATTTCAACGACCACTCATAAGCCTAAGAAATCTGGTGGAGTAGGGCTTCTGACTTTATTTTTTCCCTCTCACCAGCAGGCTCGTCGATAGAAGGATGTATAAAATGGAAAGGAATGTCATGAGTCAGGCCAAATTGTCTGACAAACTGACTGAGGTTGTAGCTTTTGAAACTACAGTAAGAAAATTTGAAGATAGATACAAAACCTCTTACATGATGGTAGCAAGGTAGTAAAACACTACACCAAAAGATACGCTGCAACTCGGTAGCCTCTTCAGAGGCAGTATCTGAGTTAGCAAAAAATAGCTCTATGAAAGAAGAATAGTAGAGAAACTAAAAAGGGGGGGCATTCAAAGATTTTGGTCTATCTTTTCTAAGACTGAAATTTTTTTTTGAAATAAGAGTCAAAATTCTTCTTTAATAAAAGGGTTGAAGAAGACAAAAATTGATGAGCATAAAGCCAAGCTTGAAAAAGCTAGAAAGGTCCCCCACAACTGATAGCAATCTTATTTTTTGTCATGTTAAAAAGACCTCTATGTAATGCCCCTAAAACAAAATGGGCCAAGGCAAATTTCTTTTTGTTGGCTAACTGGATGTCCACTTCAACTTACTCCTTGGTAACTTTGAAGCTAGGAACATAGAAAACAAATCAATAGAGCCAATGGAGAAGAAAAGTGACATGTTTTATAAATGAGGGTGTAAAATATTGAGAGACAACTAAACGATTTATCAAATCATTGTACTCGATACTAGAAGGAAGATTAACAAAGGCACGATTAGTATCAATAAAGACACAAGCATTTACCTCCATACCCATCGATGAAGCCCTGATAGATGAATAATATCTAGTATTGTTGGGGACATCATACCAATCGAAAGAAGCATGACACTAGACGATTGGGACCAAAACAAATGTAGTAGCGCCGATTTACCACTGGTTCACACGAATTTTACAAATGGAGATCTTGATCATTTTAAAGATACCTGAGTGTCTCCATTTCGATTCAAAATGGAGTTCTAGTCTTTCAACCCAATCAATCCGTTGTTGGTGAGGATTGATCCATGAATGAAGATGATTGGTCATTTGGTTCTAGGATTTTTTGTAGAAGTTGAGATTGATTCAACATTATGGTTTTCCTTTCATGTACAGGATTGTAATTTGATAATCCCTCACAAACATATGAATTGAAAGAGAGGCCAAGAGCAAGTTTCCCACCGAAATTAGGAGTGTGAATCAGAGCCCTATGGTCCATTAAGTCATGGGCCATTTGTTTGATTTCTGTTTTATTTCAACAGAAAATCTGGGAAAGAAAGGGATTTCAGATGAAAATAGAAGAGTTTGTTTCCTAGGAGCCATCTTGAGTACGGAAAAGTAGAATCTCCAGAAGTAGAGTAAGACAAGACATGAGAACGACAAAGTGAAATGAACAATACAGTTGCAAATATTTTAAGTAGATGTTTGAAAAAATAATGGTTACGACTGTTCATTTATTCGGGTTATCTATTAAACCCAATTAAATGAGGGGGATATTGTTTGGACATAAAATATTAAATCCCAGTAATATTTAGTGTATTGACACTTGGCTATCCAAAGTTACTATGGAAGTACCACGTGGCAGAATTTGAAGAAAGGCGGGAAATGATAAGTCACAACTATGTTTGAAAAAGAAGGAGTAACCAACTAAGAGTTGTCAGTAGGTAACCATCGATAGAAGCAAAACCGTTGAAGATAATGGCTCTAAAAAAGGCCATCAATGAAAAAGAAAGGGACATATTCAAACCCCCAAAAGACCCACAATCTGGGCATCATTAATAGTAGTGTTTAGGCTAGTTTTAGGGGCAATAAGTACTATAATTAAGGCTATTTTATTCAGTCTTTTGTAACTGAAGTCCTTTTGATTAAATTAATAAATGAATCCTCTTTCATTAGTTCTCTGTTATAACATTGCGCCTTTGTACAGTGTGATTTTTCATTTTTTTTTTCATCTAAGTAAGTCCTAAAATAAGACATTTGAACCCTTTCCAAATAGTTATTTGAAAATTGTCTGTCGATTGAGACATTTCTATTGATCCCAACAGATTTTGGAGCAACAGAAAGACAATCTATTAACTGGACCCCGAATAAAAAGTCTCAATTTTAAGTGGTCTTGCTTACCTCTGAGCACTTGGTTCCTTAAATATAGTCCTTACTAGATGAAATTAGGGTATTACTTTGTGTTTTTTTGTTATCTTTTAATATTTAAGTATAATTGATAGTGGCTGCTAACTTTTGTTTTGTGATGATTTTGTTACTTATGAGACTCAGGGAGGCTTATCACTTCAATTGCATTATATGATTGTGCCCTTGCAGGTTTGTGTTGCTGGTTGTACGGCGGGCCAACGTGCCAAACAAGTCCCTCGTGGGAAATATGTTGCAGGAGCCTCCATTCTGGTTGGAACTGCAATCACAATGTTCTTGTTAGTTTTACTGAATGTTTTCCCTTTCACTCCACGATACATCATTCCCATTGCAGGGATAATGGTTGGCAGTGCAATGAGGGTAACTGGTGTTTCAATGAAAAGACTCCGAGATGACATCAAGACACAAATGAGCCTAGTAAGTCCTAATAACTAGATGTTTGTGTAAAATTTTTATGCAATTTGGTAGATTCCCTAGTTGAACCTTTTCTTAAAATATCATGTAGTTGTCCTTGGGTGACAAATATATTGACTGGAGTCTGCCTACCATGTGGTTGTTTCTAACTTCTATTAATAGATTGTATGCAGATCATCAATATAGATTAGGAAAAATGTATTTGAATGTGAACGACATAATGCTCTATCATGCTCATTTTGCTTTATACCAATTGAATGTGTTGATTAATTGATAAACATTGGGCTACTTTCCAAATATCAGCATCTCCAAGGGCGAAAATAGTTTTCAAACCTAGAATTCAACAATTTGGCATCACTATTCATGATTTCATATGGTTTCTTATTGTAGGTGGAGACAGCATTGGCTCTTGGGGCTACCCCCCGTCAAGCAATACTTCAACAGGTGAAAAGGTCTCTTGTTGTTGGACTTTCTCCTATCTTGGACAATGCCAAAACCGTTGGTCTCATATCACTTCCGGGTGCAATGACTGGGCTTATATTGGGGGGAGCTTCTCCTTTGGAGGCTATTCAGGTGCAGATTGTCATAATGGCCATGGTTCTTGGGGCTTCAACTATTAGTAGTGTCATGTCGGCTGACCTCTGTTGGCGTGCCTTCTTCACCAAAGCGTACCAGTTAGAAACAAAGGTGTTTATGTCGGATTGAGAATTGCCTGATCTTCATTTACTATAATATCGAGTCATGACCCTTAACTTAATCAACCAATTCATGAATAGGAGAAGCAATACAAGCACCAAGAGCCTAGTAGTTGGATTTTGTTATGGACCAAATCCAGCTCTGAATCACAGAACATAGTCATTAAGTCGAATGCTATCTATATCACATGAAATTGTATGATATGAATTTAGTTGCTCCTCTCTCTCTCTCTTACCAATTGTAAGTTCTGCAACTGGGAATAGCCTAGCATTTTTTTCCATTATTGCTTCTTTAATAATTTTTCCTTCCTAAGAAAATTGCAATTATGGTTTATGCAAATGTTTGAATTGAGTGTCTGATGTTTAACCTGTTGCTCCAAAATCTGTTGGGATCAACAGGGATATCCCAATCAATAGACAGTTTTTGGCGACTATTTATAAGAGGTTCAAATGCCTTGTTTCAGGATTACTTGGATGAGAAATAATGAACAAATACACAGTGTAGGAAATTAATAAAAGAGGATTCCTTTAGTAATTCAGTTAAAGGGACTTTAGTTATAGAAAGACTGAATAAACAACTTTGATTACAACAATAACTGCCTCCCAAAACTAATCTACAAACTACTTCTAATAATGCCAAGATCATGGATCATTGGGGGTTTGAGTGTATCATGTCCTCTCCACTAAATGCCTTTTTTTATAGCTACTATCTTTGACGGTTTTGTTCCCATCAATGGTTACCAACTGGTAACTTCCTGTTAGTTATTCTTTCCTTTCAAATATGGTTGTGGTTGATCATCTCCTGCATTTCTTCAAATTTTGTAATGTGACACTTTCTTAATGCATCTAGGATGCCAAGTGTCCATACACTTAATATTCCTGAGATTTGATATTTTATATCAAAACATAACCAAAGTCAATAAATCTTGAGTACTCATTGAAATGAGGTATGATTGAAAGTTTATGCAGAATAGTAGATGCTTCTTTCTCAGTATTTATAGCATAGATATGTTCTTCTAATTCCACAATGTGTACCTATGGAATATGTTTTTTGTTAATCAGCGGACTGCGACACACACCTGAAACAATTCAAAACATTTTCATATGTATACTCTGTTACAAAACACCACAGTGGTTTGGTACCAAGATCATGTCACTAAAAGAAATTATTAGTTACGGTTTTCATTGGGTCCTTGAATTTGCTTTTCATAGTAAGAATTGAAACCAAGAGGATACAGAAGATAATGGTTGAACCCTGAAAAGACAAGCACATGAAGGATGCACAAGAATTTATATACACACTAGTAAGCTCACGTAGACAGTGGATATTGTAACACTGCCACATAAATGACCATGTCAATTGGTCACGTTGGGGGCGCTCTAAGGAGGTTGTGGTTTGGTGGGCCAACATAGGGAGTTTTAGCCCAAGAAAGATGTCATGCGGGACCCATAAATTCGAGGAGAGAATGGAAAAAAAGAAATTGGTATATATGTGTCACAATAAATAGGATTGTGGAACATACCTTGTACTTACAAGCAAAATCAGGGTACCGAGGCAAGGTTGCCATGGTGAGGTCCTGAGGTAAGGGTCCTGTGGCAAGGTGTGTTCTAGTATTTAATTAATATTTGAGACACTTGCCACCAATTTATTTCCTTGCATCACATGTGCGTAAGCCACACATGTTTAGCCTTACTCTATAAAAACCCTTATATTCTCACAAGAAAGGACAAGAGAGTTGAATGGATGCAAACCCTTAGGCTCTGAGCCTTGAAGAGGCAGCCGTTCTCTCCCTCCTCTTTCCTCTTCTTCTTCTTCTTCTCCTTTTCCATCCTGCACACTCTCCTCTTGGATCCTTCCGGCAGTGATGTGTATGAACCCATTTAACTCCCCACCTACATTTTTTGGCGACTCCACTGGGAGGTGACACTTCGAATGGTATTTTTGTTGTCAAGTAGCACTATATCATTTTTAGTTGGACACCTACTCCTTTTATCATGTTGCTTGCTGGAAAATGGAGCTGGAGATCATTTTTTCCCTTAGGAAAGAAATGAATATATCCTGCAGAAAGGTTAAGTATCTTTTCGTTGCAGAGTCTAGCCACCATAGTTCACTCATCTCTCTTCAAGGTGGGAGCCAAAACTACACAACAATGCGAGGAGCTCAACACAAAGAGCTAAGCATGTTTAACATGGGCCAAAGCTGTCTACGTGAAAAGAAAAGTTTTCTGTCTATGACATCTTTTTTTTTTTGTGCTCACATGAGTATACTGGTGCATCTTGAATGCTTTATATTTTATCCTTATATGTCTGTACTTATGATGCACAAAATGTATTTATGCACAATTTGTCAAGTATTTTCGTACATTAATTAAAAAGGAGACTCAACAGAAGAAAACACAAATTAAGTGGTTCAGTTAGGATGACCTATTCCACTGTGAAGAGCTATGGTGACTTGAGTATTTTATTGTTCAAGGAGTATAGAGTGCTCAGATATGAGTGATGCCCCTTGTGTAGGTTGGGCTTACAATTTATAATCGCCTCCTAACAGATTGAGACGTCATTCTCATAACAGGTGAGACAGTTCGGTGGAGGAAGCACAATTCTCGTAACAGGCGAGGTAGTTTCGTGGAGGTGGCAAAGTGCACTCGATGATTGTGTCCCATAGAGATCTTCTAGTGTGTCAGTTGTGGGCTGAGTCTCTGAAGATGGCAATGCTGAACCAACTGAGCTTCCTTGATCCTATGGTAGGCTTGGCCTGTATATTTGAGTTTGGCATGGTCTACATTTCTAAACTGGGCCCCTAATATAGACTGGACCCATCATTTCCCTCCATGCCTAGAGTCTAGTGGAATTTAAGGGAAATGACATCAATAAGAAATCTTACCCTTGTCCTCTTTTAGCAACTGAGCCCTTTTAGCAGCAGAACACTGATGAGGGAGAGGTAGACATAGCGGGCTGTAGAGGAGGAGTTGTGGGTGGCTCACAAGATAGTTGCACCTCTTGAGCCTGAGTTTCTGACTGAGAGAGTCGCAAAGCTGGAGAGTGAGGTTATTTTTTGTGAGAGCAAAGGCAGAGTTCGGCCGAGCTTTTGGTGACTCGCAAGAGAGCCACTAAGCTTGAGACTAAGGCTGCTTGCGTGAGTAGAGGTAGATTTAGGCCGAGCTTTTAGAGACTCACAAAAAAGTCACTAAGCTGAAAACTAAAGCTGTTTGTGTGAGAGTAATGGCAGAGTTAGGCTGAGTTTTTGGTGAGTAGTGAGGTGCTGCACGGGACACTAGGGTGCCTGAGGGAAGGACACTAGATACGAGGAGGCAGATGCTAGGAAGGGTGATGTAGGTTGGGTGGCGCAAAGTCAGGCGGCGGGCCCAAATGGGCAACACAGGCACCAAAGTGGGCGAGGAGGCAAGTGCCAAAGAGGGCAAGACATGCACCAAGGCCAGGGCGCTAGAGGTGAAGGCGCTAGACTGATTTCTTCATGGGGGAATCCTGCGTGGTTTCTATATGGGGCAATCCCACATGGTTGGCGCCAGAGGTGAAGGCGCCAGTGCGAAAGTGGGCATAAGCGAGGAGGCGGGCACCGACGACTAGGACTTTGTCACGGTGTTGAGGATGCTCGAAAGTGGTCTTGGTTTGGGTGTAGAATTCCGCAATGAAGGAGGACCCTTCATTTTCAATATTTTGTGGCAATAAAATGCAATCATTTTATTGGAATATTTTTTGACAAAGTAGAGAAAAAGATGGGAACAATGGGATCCACTTGAAAGATTTGTTGAATAATGTGGAAGATTATATTAAAAATTCAAGCAAGTAGAAGCATGATAGCCAGGGCACCAGCACAAGGGGCGATAGCAAAAATCATATTACTCAGGGTCCACAGCGACGCAAGTAGTAGTTGTTGACCATCAAATACTGATGCTGAAATTGTTAGGATTGTCTCAATTTTTCGTATTCCCCTCCACGTAAGGACTCAACTAGCTTGGCTTTGGTGACATTCTCAGCGTTCATGTATTTCTAGGCTTTTGATATTAATTCTAGCATGTTCTTTGACGAGCACTTCAAAACTGGAAACATAAGACTGGGTGAACGCGGGCCTTCTGTGAAGGCCGTCATGGCGACTTTGTCATCTGGTTCTTCAATTTGGAGGACTTCCTTGTTAAAATGAGTGAGATAACTCTTAGGCTTTTGTCCCGATCTTGCTTGATGTTGAGCAAGTGGGCCATAGGCTTTTGATATCGGCATCCCCCTATGAAGTGAGATACCAAAGACTTACTTAGTTGAGCAAAAGAATCAATGCAAGTTGGTCTGAGCTTGGCGAACCACTGGCACGTAGATCCCTTAAAGGTTGTAGGAAAAGCCTTGCACACAATTTTTTATGGTATGTTGTGTAGTTACATGAGGGATTTATAGGCGTCAAAGTGGTCTAATGGATCTTTTGAGCTGTTAAAAACTTCCACAATTGATATTTTGAAAATTGGGGGAAGGGGTAGTTGGCCACATCAGCTATGAACAGTGTGTTAGCATGCCTTACAAGGTACTCGACTATTTTTGGCCATCGCGCATTGATGGAATTGAAGACGTCGCCCAACTGTTTATGTAGTTCCTTGATATTTTTCATCTCAGGGGTTGGCAACGCCTTCATGAGGGTTGTTGTGGTGGCTTTCATTGTCATACTGGGTTCTTCCTCATCCTTTTCGAACTAGGGGTTGGCAACCTGGGAGGATAGATTAAGCGCTCGAGGAGGTAGAGGCAGGGCGCCATGCTAAGGTAGGGCGCCTGGGTGAGTTAGGCAAGGTGCCTTGGAAGCTTGTTCTCCTAGGTGCTTGGGGGTGGTAGGCAAGGCACCTTAAGCATTGGCTTTCCTAGGTGTTAAGGCGTCTGGGACGCTGCCATTCTTGGGTGCCTAATGAGCATTAATTGGAGGAGTTGTTGGTTTTGGTTTACCAATAACTTCATCGTCTTTAGTAGTTGTGGTCCAATGACGGCATTTGCTGACAGGGGCGGGACCTCATCAAGATATTGATCATCGTCTTCCCTTTGTTGATTCATGGATCTAGTGGTAATAACCATAAAAAGAGGAAAGAAAGTAGGGTGCAAACTAAGTCGTTTCCACAGACAACACCAACTCATTTGGTGAAAGCACTTTTTGATAAAATTTTAGTATGCATAGCATTTTCATTATTTTTAATACCACGTCATCTTACTGACCATATTTTCCACAGGGTCTTTGTAGCACCCATGACACTTGTTCCTCGAAGTGGTTTAGCCATTCAGGACATAAGGACCACCACCGCGGGACCACAATGTGTCTCCTGCTACGATGTAGCTCTTATTATTCCAAGAGTATTGTTCTAGTAAGGATATTGTTATAATTTGACCCAAACTCTCTAATTGTTATGATTGAGAGTTTGTTGGGTAATCAATATGAGAATCCTATATGTAATAGGATTATATTGGAAGAGTTTCAATATACCATGTATAGGTATGTTAGACATGTGCTAGGAAACATAAATATCAAGTTGTATCTAAATAGGTATGAGTTACAATATTTTATCCCTATAAATAGGGTTGAGTATTATGTAATCAATTACCAGATGATCAATTTTTCAATGAATAATACATCGATGTAGATTCTTGGTCCTTAGATGTAGGTACAGTATACTAATGTGGGTATGCTGTATAGAATCATGTTATATCTTTATGTCATGTTTTTATTGTTTTCCTATCTTTTAATTTCTATTTTTCAATAAGTATTATTTGTGTTAATTATCCGCTGTGCAAAACCAACAAATGGTATCAGAGCTATGTTCCAATAGATATGGTACCAACATTGAGGGGATACTATAAAACTACCTTGCATCATGAGCATCAACTTAGCAGATCTACATCACCGAGACTTTGCCAAGCCTTTGTTTATCCTCATGTATGAACGGTGGCATCATGAGCATCACCTACCAGCATTAAAGATTACTTTTGCTCAAGAAAATACACAACTATCGTGCTTGTTGGCCCTTTGTCATATGGAGGTTCAATGCATGTGGGTGATTTGGTTTCTCCAAAGTTGAAACCTGCCTAAGCGTGTCACGAGCCTAAAATTTGGTGAAGACAGGAAAAATGACTCTATTGTGACGATGAACCAAGTACTGGAACACACATAACTCAATACCTCTTAATCATGGGAACTTCTCCATTCTTAAATAATGGTATATCGCAAAGAGTGGCCCGAAGGACTCTCATAATCCTCGAGGTCCCCAAGATTCGTGTTCTTCGAAGGGGCCTCACCATTCGAGTAACATAAAAATGAACTATTCGAGAGAATCACATGGGTGGTGTTAATGAACCAAACACACCACTATGGAGGTAAGTACCTTATGAAAATAAACATACGTGCTGGATTGGTAATACACACACCCATTGGCTGTTGTATTCTTTCTTGCGATGCTTGCTAGCATAATGGTAGGGCTACCTAAGGGAGCTTTTACCCTAACCCATGGGGTTTTTCAAAGTTATACCCAAAAGATGGTAGTTTTCAAACTATTTTTCAAACCCAGGTAGTTTGAAAAACATCATTCCAACTGATGTGTTTATACTAAAAGACATTAGTGCAACTGACATTTTCATGTAAAAACGTCATTCCAACCAACGTCTTTAAAAAAATTTTATTTTTTAAAAAAGTCACATAAAATGTTGTTCTGACCAATGTGTTCTTAAAAAGGTTGGTTCAACTAACATTTTATGTATTTGCATCTGACCCTCATTCTCTCCTATCCCTTATGCCTTGATTCTTTCATTTTCCCCAAATTGAGAGACCTAATTTGAAATCAACCACCCCCATTCCATGCGAAACCACCAACAACACCACCATAACTAGCCCACAGCCCTAGCACCACCAACATCCAAAACCACCAGCAACACCACCATCACTATCCCATAGCCCCAGCACCGCCACCATAAAAAACCCTCGGCCCAGCAGCACCACCATTCGAAACCCCCAGGCACAACACTACCACCACCGGAAACCCCTAGCACCAACACCATCGAAAACCCCCAGCCAAGCACCACCACCATCATAAACCACCAACCCAATCCCAATGTCAACAAAATCACCATTGTTGACTGTTTGTGGCCACTGGAGCTTCTGGGTTGAAAGTCCATCGGAGTTGCTGGGTTGATGACCACTAGAGCTCCAGTATTTGTTGAAGAACACCGGATTCCCCAACGTATATGACTGACTCTTTCTCTCTGTCTCTGTCTCTCTCTCTCATAGTATGCTCTCAATGTTTGATCCATCTGTTGTATGCCATGATTATTGTTGTAGTTATGTATGTTTTTGTGCAATGTTATTTTTTGTTTTGATGAATGATTTGTGCACTGTTATGTTGATTCCTTGATATGCAATGTTGATGTATGGTATGATTCATGGTTTGTGGATTTTTATCTTTTGATTTGATTGATCAATATGGACTGCTAATTTGTGGGTTGATTCATCGATATGCTTGTGTATGTGGTTTCATTCATCGATATGAACTGGTGATTGTGGCTGGTTTAATGATATGCATATTGATCCATGTTATTCCTTCTACTTAACATGTTAAAATACTAATTGAATAATCGATATTATTCTTATTCACCATAGTAATTTGCATAGTTAATTTGCCAATCATAGTATGCAATTTGCATTGTTTTGTGTTAACATAACCATGTACTTTGGAGTTTGTCTTGTTGATGATATTTAACTGAGAAATTATTTTTTCCAATCATGTATTGTGTAAAACCCGAACATGCATGTGTAAGAAAAATATTTTTATAGTGCATGTTTTATTAGGTATGTAATTAAAAAAATTAAATTAAAAATTACAAAAAAAAAATAAATTTAAGTTATTTATGGAAATGCCATTGCATGACATTTCCTTCCAAGCTACTGCCTAGCAGCAGCAGAGCTCTCCCTAGCCTTCTCCAATCTTTCAGAGTGTTTGAGGAGGTGCTCAAGGCTTTAACTGGTCTCTGGATGAGGTAGAATTGCAAAGAGGAGAGAAGGTAGAGAGAAAGTGCGAGTATTGGATTTCAAATTTTCTTTGGAGGGTTGTTCAAACGATCAAAGGTATAGATCTAGCCTAATTAGGATGCTAGAAATCCATTGGTGGTGTTAGTTTTTGATTTGGGTAATTAGTTAAGCTCGAATTCGAGGTTTAAATTTCAGGGTTTTGGTTTTCTTGAAATGGGTTCATGTATACTCTTCATTCTAACTTAATTAATCTATATGGTTGTATTTCTGGGAGTTCAAGGACTGGTTTAGTGGTGGTTTTGGGTGTTGTCGTGGTCAGTGGTGAAGGTTTGAGGAAGGTAAAGTTTGAAGGTTAGGGTTTGTGTTCTTGAGAATTTGGACTTATTAATCTTGCATTTTTAAAGTGTAAAGGGTACTGTCCTAGACTAAAAAAAACATAAGGAACCCATTTCAACGATTAAAATTGCATTTGGTTGATGTTTAGGGGGGTCAAAAGACCATTTGCATGTATGTCATAAGTTTTTGGTTTACTTTGACTTTTTTTTTTGATGAGTTTATGTTTAATTCAAAGCTTAAAACTCATAGGGTTTGCTAGAATGATGTATGGTGAGTGTTTAGGTTCAAAAATTAGGAGGAGTGGTGTACTACAGAGGGAGAAAAGGATGAGAGAACTGGGGTAGTTGAAGCTTGAAATAGGGAACCTAGGGTTTTGGTCAAGGAGTTCAAGGAAGAAGATTAAGCAGGATAAGGTACACAAGTGCACCCTGTTGGTGTGTGAAGGCATGTCCAACTTCCGATAGACCTCTGGTTGGTTCCAAAAGTTCTGTAATGTCTGTACGTAGGTCCCAGTAAAATTTTAAACCAATATGATGGCCGAATCAAAATGAGAATTAAAATGATGGTTTTGGCCTCCAAAGCCAATTTGACCTAGGTTTTGGGTGATTTTGGAAAAATAAATCTTATATTCATTCTTAGGTATTTTAATTGAGTATGTGTATGAAATTTCATTGAAAAATAATATGAAATTTCATTGAAAAATAATATCGTTTTATTTTTGGCTATTTTGAATCGAAAAGCAGCGTAGGGTAGGTTTCTTAATTCTGTATCAATCAAAACTTTTCAAATTCATTTTGAAGTCATGTCTTACATTATTTATGAATTTTTAACATATTTTAAAACTTATGAAATATTATTTTGAATTTGGATTGAAAATCATGGATCTGGATTAGGGTTTTGAGTGGAGTAACGCACAATGGTCCAAAACGATGAATTTGCCGATATAAAATGAGATGTCTAATTCCTTTTAAACTAATTGTAAGTGCACATAGGTTGAGTGGTAATAAAGGTTTACGTTCTAATTTGAGGTTGTAGAGGATACTCACTAAGTTCGTAAACGCTTGAGGGGTCAGTTGGTCTTTGGACTTTGAGTGTTGAAGTTAAGTTGTGGTGAATACGAAACGTCACAAAATGTATTCATATGCATTCATTTGCACCAGTTAAGTTATTTTTGATTCGATACTCATTTGTATTCATTCATGTGTTAACTGTTAGGGTTGAAGGCTACAACCTCGATTACACATAGAGATTGACTGTAAAGAAAGGAGGGGGATCTGTTAGTAGTAAAGGTAAAGTGTACTACTTCATAATAATTGGAAATAAAAGTATATGATATATTGAGTTTATTCTGTTGTATGTGAGAAATCAATTTTACCGAATTGATTTGAGTTGAGTTGCTTAAACTATGGATCAAATTTGTTTTTATGAAAAACTTGTGATTTGAGTATTGTCCACTATGTCAAGTTGTTAATAGCTTGACATGACTTACATGTTGTTGATTTGGACACTACGCAGTTGTCGTGAGATAGCTTGACATTGCTTAAATATTGTAGATAGCCTGACATTGCTTATATATTGTTGTTTGACTCGCTGCTTATGTAGATATTTACTATTTTGATATATTAGGATGATTTGAGTTTCAAAGTGAGATGAGTTCACTTTGGTTGTGATTTGCGAGTTTTGAGTATCTTTTGGGTATAATTATATTTGATTCATAGTTTGTTTTATTTCCTTTGATGATGATGTTTAGTACACACAAGAAAATTGTTGGTTTCAGGATGCCAAAGTCTAGAGTTAGGTCCACTACTGCACTAGCATTATAGAGATGGTGGAAAACTAAGGAATCTAGTTTATTTACATTTGTATAGGAGTGTCTGTTTTCCCTGTTATTTGTTGTAAAGAGATGAAATCCCTAATCTTTTATTTTGGTACAAATGACACTGTTGTGTACTCTGTAATACAATTTTCGGTTTGAATTGTGGCATTAGGTGGCATTATTGATTTTTAAATGCATTACTGCATTACAAACACAGGTATCACCACATGTTGAGTTACGCTCCCATCTCTGGGAAACCAAAGAGGGTTTCTCGAGATGGGCTGTGCCATATTACTTCAATCTTACTTTTGTTAAGTATTCATTCATTCCTTCCTCATTCAGTCTTTTGTAATTCAACATCTGTACGAAAGCTGAATTTTTAATTTAAAAGAATATAATCATAATTCAGCTTAACTTTAACCATCTCTTTGTCAATCTTATTCGAAACATTGTAGTTATGTCTCTTAGTCATCAAGCAACACAATTTTCCTTAACAATTTACATTCTTCACTAATGCGATAGAGTTAGAAAGTGTTGTCATCCTTGAGTTGGAAAGTCTTAATAATTGTGATAGAGTTGTAAATGTAAGTACATTACTACCTTGTAAGCCAAAAAATCGGCTACACTGTTTGCCTTCATGATAACATGTTTGACTTCAGATTGAATTCCTAATAACATGTTAAAAGCTACACTTTTTTGGGGATTATTTTTTCAAACTTCCTGTTATTAGATGAGTCTCCATTTTTCTTAGTTTCCAAGTTGTACACTTCAAGCTCTATGGTTTCTTATTTTATCAAATCTTCTATATAGCGTGTGATAAATTCGATGGGTCTTTGCTTTACTATAGTTATGTTTTTCCTCAAGTATTAATCCTTTCTATCCATACCCAGGTTCTTGTGAATTCAACACTTATTCCACAACAAAAACTGTTACTTCTTTGGTTTTTATGTGGTACTTGGCAATCCCAGCATTGCTAGTGTTGCATTGTATGTGGAGATGAAGGACATTAATGTTGTCATAGGCAGTAATAAGATTGGAGGGTGCCTAACCACCATTACCATATCTTAAACTAAGTTGTTTAGGTGAGAGATAGGTACCTCAACATTTTCAACTTTTGAGTTGATGGGAGAATGTTCCACTCCCGTGGGGATGCAGTTCAGGGATGATTCTGGGCTATACTTATGCCCCCGTTAATATTCTAGCTCCACTACATATGGTGGGTACTCAACCAATAATGCACTAAGTCAAAATTTTCAAATGGGTGAGGAGGGAATTGAGCTGGGTGAACAAGATGATGTCCATGAACCAATAATGCAACAAAGCCCAATTCAAGAATATGAAAAATGTGTGAAAATGATCGTACAAATGTCTCCGATGAAGAAAAAGAAGAAGAAGAATGTGATGAATTAATGATTGCTGAGCCAGATGACGAAGATGGGAATGGTGAAGACATTGAGGCTGACACAGAGGTTTAGATGGATAAGCCTTACTCCACCTCTGAATTTGGTCAGCATTCTGAAACATATAGCTTAGTATCATCTTTTGAATTAAATTTGTGGGATCTGGTAAAGATGGAGTTGGCGAAGGGCAATGTTTTTAAGGATAAAGCTTCACTGATTAGGGTAGTTAATGGTATTCCATCAAGCTGAATCAGGATTATGTAGTGGTCAAGACGAACACAATGGTATGGGTTATACAATGCAACATGTACATGCAGCCTAACTGCAAGTGGAGATTACGTGCTTATTTTAGAAAAAAACTCAAAATGTTTCAGATCACGAAATATGATAGAGCTCATAGCTGCTTCTACCCTTAAATAAATTGTGACCACAGACATTTAGACTTTGACTTTATATGTTACCAAGATTTTCAGTGATTGGGACCCTGCATCATATTGCCACCCGCATTAAAACATGTTGCTGGTTGTTATTCTCTGTGTTTGGAAAACAAAAAAAAATAATGAATATTGAGCCTAATGATAATGATTTGTCTTATTTGCGAGGGACATTGTGAATCCACAAAAGGTGCGTCACCAGCACATCCTTGAATTCTCGAGAGGGTCAAGTGATCTCCACAACTTGCCACTCCCTCCAACGATTTGAGAAATCAAATCTCAATTGTACAAATGGTCAA